CGGCCTGTAGACTGAAGGGTCCCAGGTTCGATTCCAGTCAAGGGCACATGCCTGGGTTTCGGGCTCAATTCCCAGTAGGGGCGTAAAGGAAGCAGCTGACCCATGATTCTCTCTCATCATTGATATTTCTATCTCTTTCCCTCTCCCTTCCTCTCTGAAACCAATAAATACATATTTAAAAAATAAAAATAAATGGAAAAATATCCTTAGGTGAGTATTAACTTAAAAAAAAAAAAAAAAATCCCTGCCAAAGTTGCTGGCTCTGGAATATAACACATTATAAACCCAAAGTCCTATTTCTAGCTATTGGTATTATACAGTTTAAATTAACCATTTACTCTTTAAATTCTCAGATCTGTAAATCAAATAACACTCCAAACTATTTTTTATGACTTTTGAAGGAGTAAACAATGCTGCAAAGGTAATGATCAATATTTTAATTCCCATTACCCATTACAAAAATAAATATTCCTTGAATGTCTTTTATGTGCACAGTACTTGGGTAGGCTAAAAATGAAGAGACAGTCTTCGTAATTCAGATTAATGAAACACAGAGAAATGCTTAACTAATCATGATTATGATTACATGACAAAATTGAGGCATATCAGAAATAGTTTTCATAGGTACTGGCTGGCCAGAGGAGTCAGAGAAAATGAAGTTGGATTTGATCAAGAGACAAAGAAGGTAATTATTAAATTTAGCTAGGAAGAGAAGAGTACATAGGTTGCTATATCCTTTAGGTTCTCAACGCACTTCACTCATCTGTTACTGTATTTAACACACTGGACAGTCATTTATTTGTCATCCCCACTCAGTCTGCAAATCCAAGGATTTACAAGAAACCATGTTCATTTTTCTATACTTAATCATTAGCCACACATGATAATCGATGTTTTTTGAACAGGTAAGGTTAAGGACACGATTCCCTATTTAAATTATTGTATTTTAACCTAGTCTATCTGTGTGGGTTTACTCACTGATTCTCAACTTCAAAACTACCATGCTAGCCTCTGGTCTATGGTGCTGGAGCTGAGACTGTGCAACTATCCTAAGCTACTCTTCTGCCAGGGAGCTTCTTGTTCAGTAAGCCTTGCCAATGGAGGAATTATTAAATGGAGATTTGAAAGGAAGAAGAGAGATGAACATACTTCTTACAATTGCTGAAGCAGCAACTGGTTCCAGGCCCCAGCTTCTTTCTGTTCTCCCAGAACCGGCCCTATCAGCAGCTCAACACTAACCTCCTCAAAAGTTCAGAACCAGGCCCATGGAATCTTTTCCCTGAGCTCTTAGGCTGACTAATGTAATGTTCTCTTTTTGTTCTTACACCTATCTAACCAACTCCCTATATTAAATCACCACTGCTGAAATTCCCATTGAAGTTTCTGTTTTCTTTACTGGACACCAAATACATTACTAAACACAGGGATTCTAACCGTTCTCCTCTGAGATACCTTCTTGCTACGTCAATGAAGGATAAATTCCTATCCTTTAGGAATTTATTCCTATAGATAAAAGGAGTTAGTCCTACAGATAAAAATTCCAAGTATGCACACCCACCTCTTTTTACTAGATACAGCTAGAGAAAATGGGAGATGGTAGACCTGATCTCAGTTCCTACAAGCCTCCCGTAGTATGAGCATTATACCATTCTGAATGTGATTGTTATATTTAAAAACTTTTTTTTTCTGTTCATCATGGCCTCTAAATGCAAGCTAACTACTTCATCTAGTGTTCAACAAAAGAAACAGCATTCTGTTCCAACACTAAAACTGAGCTGAACTTAAAGGTATGCTGTTCTCCCTTCTTAAGGGATTTTTAAGCAGCATTTTTTACTACATGTGATTTTCATTTTATTGACTTTAGCATTTAACCTCTTCATAAAACACAACTCCACACTTTAGCAGAAACAAAAAGAAATCCCTCTCACAGGAGTCCACAATCAACACATCTTTTGAAAACAAATGATCAAAATGCTTTGATATTTTAATGACATGCTTAAATAAGATGACTTCATTAAACAATTTATTCTGAGGTAAATAACAAAAATAATGTCACTATTGTACTTAAATTGATCTTTTAAAATTACGACAAAATGTGAGTGCCCGGCTAGCTCAGTCGGTAGAGCATGAGACTCTTAAAATTACGACAAAATGGAGATATGTAGAAGCAGCGCACAAGTTGTTAACGCATTCTCTAAATGAAATGGGAGAAGGCCAACTCAAACAACAGGACTCTTTCTAAGAATGTTCAGTAATTTATGTAAGTTCTAAGATTCCAACAAGAGGTATTAGTAGGCCCAGACATATATCAGTCCACTTCAGCTGCCTAACATCTGTAAGACAAAAGAGAAGAAGAATCTCAAATTTGAAAGAAAAACTATAGTCAGTTCCATGGAGTCCCTCCCTATAGCATAAAACTGATTAACAGCCAACCTACCTCCTAGCTATGGGCACATGAACACCAGCTTCTATTTCAGTGCCAAGAGCTGCATACCCAGCCAGAATATCCACGTAAAATCAACTACTGTAAGCTGTACTTAAAAGAGACACCTGAGGACCCATGTGACATATTAGGTAAAAAGACCGGAGGTGCTGAACATACAGGATATATGCACCTTCAGGGAATGAACAGCATAAATGTTACTGTACCTTTGTACCCAAAATTACATGGGGATCTAAACATTCAATAAGTTACTACGATAACAGAGATCTCAAGAAGAAAAAAAAAACACCAGGAAATTAAATAACTGGTGTCTGATGACAATGTATGTCTCCCACAGCATGCATAATAAACAATATTAATTGAAAGTCAAGCATAGATCTGTATGTGTGCAGAATATACATAATCTCATGGTATTTTTCTTTTTTTAAAAATCGCAAACTGTAATGCATTGCTTAATTTCTCCAGATTTAATAAATGAGGCGCCACAACATTATGCAGTGCTGTAAGTCATACTAGAAATGCTGTCAAAATTTTAATAAAGTGCTTTTTAATGTTAACTCACTTCTCTTGGCTGGAAAGAATTCCGCTTCTTTACTAATGTATAGAAATGAAACTGTCACTAAAATATCTGGTTATATATTATTCATTAGACATATATCACCTTTATCCAACAACTCCATAATATAAACACAAATTATGAATAAATCAGATTAAGGAGATAGACCTGACATACAAAGATGTTTGCTGACCTGAACTATCTTTCTATCCATACAAACCAGGGACCTAGCTGTCTGAGTGCTCCTCACAAGCTCGGGAAAACTAAAAATTCTTCATGTCTGCATTATGTTAGCGGTTTTAATTTGAAACTTTTCTTTTACGCAGCACATTTAAGGACCATCAGCAGCATATGATTCAAATGCTCAAAAGGGACTAGCCTACTCAGGCACTTTTCCTCCCTAAAATCTCCATTTCACCCCCACACCTATTATAATTAACCTCCAACGTGGACTCCGCAAGGGTACCTGAAGGAAATAACCCAAATCCCTAGAAGTGAGAGGCCATATTTGCTGTGCTATCCCTGGAAAATGGAGTCTTATATAACAACCAATTACTTTACTAAAAAGTGCGTTCAGTGTGCAATCAAGATTTTAAAAGATACCTGTTGATTGTGACACAAGTAGAAACTTGGGGGGATGGGGGGGGGGGGGAAACAAGGAATGACCGAATCATGTTGCTGCCATTTAAATTCTTTATAAACCAAAGGATCATTTTTAAGAACCAAGATCTAACACCAATCTATGCTGTTAAAATATTCAACAACCACACACCTTAAGGCAAGCGAGGAAAGTAGATTATCTACCCATTACACTAAGTTTCAGCTCCTCACCTTGGAACTACCAAAAAAAAAAAAAAAGTAGATTTATAGAATGCAGATCACTCGTACACCGGTTCCCAGCGTGATTCTCGGGCTAACACAGTGACACCGCGTCTCAAAATTTTGAGTTTTTAAAAGAAGCAAAGCACAGTACTCAGGTAACCGAATGCAAACCTATCCATTTCACAGCACAATGTCTCTACAGCCCTCAGGGGAAGCTGACATTTTCACACATCAAGGCACACATTCTGGAAAACTTCTGACAGCCATAAAGTAAGAGACCCCCGCCTCCATGCCCCCCAAAAAATAACCTTCAAGGAGATAAGCCATTCCTTAGGATTATGGCCTTAGCGGGCAGATAACGGGCATGAACCTCAAAGCCCGTAACTAATTTTAACCCCACAGCACCTCCGGGAATAGGAGGGGAAATTATCCTGACAACCGGGTCGAAGGGGGATCCCCGACGACAGCGGGTACCCCCAAGATCTCCGCGTCAACGACAGGATTCGAACCCCCCGAAGCTTCCAGCAGAGACACACCGAGACACCCCCTCCCCCCACGACTCCTCGGGGTCAACCTGGCGATTGAGAAACCAGCCACAGACCCTGCGGGGGCCCGGGGCCGGCGGCGCTCCAGGCGGTTCTCACCCAGAGGGTTCCCCCCCGCAGCCTGGGGGAACCCCGACGCCGGGGAGCGCCGCCCCGCGCCCCGCCGACTCCGGCACCCCCGAGGGAAAGGGCTCCCCGCACAAAGCGCCCCGCTCCGCCCGCTCCGAGGGCAAAGCCCGGAGAAATCCCCCGCATTCCACGCCTTTTCGCCTCCGGAAAGGGGCCGCCGCCGCCGCCGAGAGGCTGGGGCCCCGCCGGGGAGGAGCCGGCGGCGCGGCGCGAGGGGTTCGCGGCCAAGGAAGGAATCCCGGAGCCTCGACCGATCCGCCGCCCCCGCCAAGAAGACCCTGGGAGACTCGGGAACAATGCGAAGCCGCCTCCCCCGCCCCGAGAGAGAGCGGCCGGGGGCGGCGGCGCCATCTCCCCTCACACTCCCGCGGACACACTCACACACACACCCCCGGCCCCGACCGCCCGCGGCCGCCCTCAGCCCGGTCCGACCCGGCCCGCTCCGCCCGCCGCCCTTCGCTGCCGCCGCCGCCGCCGCCCGCCGCCCGCCGCCCGCCGCACTCACCGGCTCCCGGCCCGGCCCGGACTCCGCTGCCCGCGGCCGGAGCGAGACTCAGGTCCAAGCCGCCGCGGCCGCCGGCGCCGCCGCCGCACAATATGGCGAGCCTGGGCTTCCGCAATGGAGCTCGGGAACTACAACAGGGGCCGCTCAATATTCATGAGAGACCGAGGGGGAAGCCGGCTGGGCAAGCGCTGCGGGGAGGGCGGGAAGGAGCGAGCGAGCGAGGGGGCGGAGGCGCGGGATGGGGACGGGGACGGGGACGGAGAGACGTGCTGGCGCGGGAGCGCCGCCGCGTGCTGGCCTGGAGGCCCCAGCCGCCGCCACGCCCCGCCCCGCCCGCCGTGGCCCCGCCCACGCCCCGCCGCCGTCCACGCCCAGGCCTAGGCCACGCCCCTCCTGTCGCCGGTCACGCCCCCGCCCCGCCGCCGGCCCACGCAGCCTCGGGCAACTCCGGCGCCTCCACGTTCTCTGCCCGCTGCTGGCAGAGCCCTCCCCGGCCTCGGCCCATCCGTCCGGCTCCCCGGGCCGGCTGCGGGGCGTGCGCTGAGAGGTGAGCTCCCCTGTGACCGTCCCCAGCTCTTCCACCTCCAGCCCCTTAGTGATCCTCCTTGGGCATTCACCTTCACAACTTCACCTGATGAACTTGGGCACCCCACCACCCCCTTTCAGCAAAGACACACTTTCCACCCTGCACGCGCAACCTGCAAGATCCAGTGATCCCGGGGAAAATGACCTTCAGTTCTCAAAGTAGATTGTTGGACTGTCTGTAAGCTCTTGCTGTTGACCTGGCTGCTCTTTGATTCATACCTATTTGGCCCCTTCCAGTATTACCTTTTCTTCTTTTACTTTTTTTTTATTTTTTTATTAAGGTATAATATGTGTACATATCTTACCATTGCCCCCCCCCACTCCCATACATGACCTCCCTCCCCAGAGTTTTCTGTCCATTGATTATGCTTATATGCATGCATACTAGTCCTTTGGTTGATCTCTTATCTCCCCTATATCTCCCTACCCTCCCCGCTATAATTTGACAGTCTGTTTGTTGCTTTACTGTCTCTGTATCTAACCTTCTTCTAAACTTGAGAATATAAGAATAGGTTAAATACATGTAATCATTACCTAAAACACAATCAACTAGTCTACAGAAAATTATATGAAATGCACAAAAAATTAAGCTATAAACGGAAGAAGTAACAAAGAAGGAAAAGAGTTCCCTGATCTCAAGATGGACTACTATTGGTGAGATGTCAAGTTCTCTTGAAAAACAAATCCACAATAGCGGGACACTCCTGGCAGAAGGGAAGGGGCTGCACTGGGAATTGGGCAAGCTAGGTTTTACAGCCTTCAAGGTGTCTCTAACTATGGGACCTAGGTAAATGGCATAACTCCTCTGGATTTATTTTTCTTATTTGCAAAATGAGAGAATCGTGTTGAATGATTCCTAGGTCCTTTCCTGCTTTCGAACTCTCCAAAGCTCTCTACAACCAGTGCCAAATAAGTGGCTTGAATTTACTTAGGGTTTTGGAAAAGAAAAGGGTCAATTTCAGGTGGTGTGTTCAGATGATTTCCTGAAGAACTAGGATTAAGTATCTAAAATATTAAAGACATGCATTGTGTATCCTGTCAATCCATTAAAGTAAGAGCAAAGCATTGTTATTTCAGTGACTTGGAAACTTTCACCTGCTATCTATAGCTTTAAATAAAAAAGCATAATTCTCAGATTCTTCAAGATTACGCCCTTCCTCCAATGTGAAAAATAAAAATAACCAGTAATGCTTCTAATTCTCCCTTCCAGTAGGTCCACTTTATAGAAATAATGCAATTGCAGAAGCAACTCCCATCTTTATTTATGCTGACTGCATGTGTAATTCAATTAAAGATCTTCTTAATTCAAAACATTTTGCTCTATTAAAATGCTTATGAAAATAATAACATGTTTTATTAAGAAATTCAATTGGTGTTGAGAAAAGTGATCATTTGTAGAAAGCACGGGAACGTTACGGATGAAAGTTAAATATAGTACCTAAAAAAGATTCATGTGAGAATTAGTGAGAAAATGGAAAACTTATGGGATATCTGAATAAGTGTGATTAACATGCTAGACCTCAGGCTAGCATCCTTAATATGGAAGATACTACTGATAAATTAATGGAACTCATGTTATCCATCTATATTATCTCTTACTCAGAAGCTTGGCACTATGGCTATATTAATTAGGCAAGTTTATGTTAGGCAAGCATAACTTTCTGGAAGTCACTCAAGAAATCTAATGTTATACAATGAGACCTGGAGTTTTTTCACAGAACCTAGTAGCAGAATAGGGGTTCTGGGTGACTGACATTAGTATTGTTCACCATTTCCCCATGGTATAATTAGAAGTGATAATCGTATTTTAAGTAGGAAAACATTACATTAACACTACATAGTTGGATGACTAGATGACTCTAGTTAAAATACGTTTCCCCTCAAAATACAGGGAAAAACTATTTTTTCCATTCAGAAATAGTAACCTGTTAATCACACAATGAATTAGGTAGGCATCCCTGATCACAAGAATTGCCTCTCTACTGGCTGGCTGCTATGTGTGATGCTACAAAATTAGGGAGATTAGTTCAGCTCAATCAACTTTTATCGAGCATCTATTATGTACCTAGAACTCTGCCAAATGCTTGGAATGAAGGTATTAGTGTAACTTACATAATTAGGACATTAGTTCCTTAACAGCAGAAATCTTGTCTGTCAGTGTACACCTAGAGAATAGCACAATGTTTGGCACAAATCACAGATGCTCAAGAAATAGGGGTTAAGAGAGAGAAAGACAGGAAAGCTTTGATCCCAATGTGTACGTGAAATAGAACGGACTTGGTTCACTTCTCACTGTTACTACTTAAGAGCTGAAATTTCTATCAAGATTGCATTTAGTTCCTCCAGAGGCTTGCTTTATTTAGGCAGGGTGTCTGAAGTGGAATTTCACACCTGCCTATTCTATTATACATCTACCACATGGATTTCTCTTCAGCTGTTCTCCAAATAGCTAATGGTTATCCGCTCATCCAAGATGAAGACTGCAGGCCACCCTAATTTTACAGTTAAAACATAGGTTTAGGCCTATATTCGCTGCATAAGACTACCCCCCACTTCAAAGAAAAGACTTACTTTGCTGTCAAGGTCTGAAGGTAATTTTTGTGCAATTTTGGTCTTTTGCCCCCGATTTTCGGTTGACTTTTTTTCATTTCAAAGGTCATCTTATACGCCGGAAAATACAGTAAGCTACATATGTAAACCAGTTTAGAGGACACTTGTTTTTTTTTTTTTTTTTTTTTTTTTTAGAACTTCATTGATTTTAGGAAAGGAAGGGAGAGGGAGAGACAGAAACAATGATGTGAGAGAGGAAAATCCATCAATAGCCTCCCGCATAGGTTTGGTGGGGGAGGCGGGGGTGTCGAATCTGAACCCTGAGTATGTGCCCTGACCAGAATGAAATCTGGCACCTTTTGGTGGACAGGACAATGCTCCAACTAACTGAGCTACACTGATCAGGACAGAGAGCACTTTTACATCTGTTATTTCACTGAATCTTCAAAACAATCCTCTGAAGTATTATTCCTATTTTACAGGCAAGGGAAATGTGTTTTGTCACATTGAGCTCAAAGTGGCAGAGCTGAGGCTCAAACCTAGGTCATCTGATTCCAAGTCCAACACACTTTCCATTGAGCCATAAGTGGCTTCCAGCTCCATGCTGCATACACAATTTTTCCTTCCTTCCTTCCTTCCTTCCTTCCTTCCTTCCTTCCTTCCTTCCTTCCTTCCTTCCTTCCTTCTTTCCTTCCTTCCTTCCTTCCTTCCTTCCTTCCTTTTGTCCTTCCTTCCTTCCTTCCTTCCTTCCTTCCTTCCTTCCTTCCTTCCTTCCTTGCTTCCTTCCTTTTGTCCTTCCTAACTTCCTTCCTTCTTTCCTTTCTCCCTTCCTTCCTTCCTTCCTTCCTTCCTTCCTTCCTTCCTTCCTTCCTTCCTAACTTCCTTCCTTCCTTCCTTTCTACTTTCCTTCCTCCCTCCCTCCCTCTCTCTTTCTCTTTATTTCTTTATTTCTTCATTTCTCTTTCTCTCTCTCTTTCTATTGGTAAGCAATATGTGAGACTAACATCTAGAGCTTCCTCCAGCACTAGTTATTATTCTAATCCTCAGCATGGTCTATTTTCAAGAAGCTAGAGACGATGCTAAATATAATGATATATGGACCTGATTAATTGGCAGAAAACCAATATGGTTTGTTTTGTTTTCTTAGAACACTTGCTTTAAGAAAACAACCAAATAAAAACTAAAAGCTAGGTTAGAAGACTGGAATATTTGTGCAATGCTTTCTTTGAAAGGGTCAAGTTGAGCAGGGACATCGTAAAAAGGCTAAGCAGACTTATAATTCAGCGTGACTTCAGGAAGCAAGCAGCTCAAGATTTACAACTGCTTCAGCTTAAAAAAAAAAAGTACATAACTCTAGCCACAAGCTTTAGTGAAGTTTTATTTGTGTTTCAGCATAGTGTATTTCTTTTTATGACACCTTCCTTGGTGTTTTGGTTCATTGTTCCTTTTTGTTTTCCCAAGACAAAATAATTGGTGCTACTCTTAACCAACCAATTTAAAGGAGAGAAACAGAGTAAGTAAGATGGGCTAGTGATGTTTTTGAGGAGAACTAAACAATAGTGCTATTTCCCTCCTATGGTTACTTGGAATGGAATTTTTATATGTCCCAGATGTGGCCACAGTCTGCCTAACATCTGTTAGTGCATTTTATTAAAATAATGAACTAGCATGTGCTTGCAAAGTCAAAAGAATGAATAAAATGTTTCATTCTGATGCAGCATGGATAGTCAACTGTTTCTTTGCAGTTAATGGAGTACATATACAGGAGATATTGTGACAGCAAATTTCAAACTAAAATAAAGTAGGATTTAATAATAAATAGCTTTAGTTTTATAATATGAAGAAAGTTTTTTTCTATTCAAACAAACTGTAGTTGTTTCCTTTCAAAATGTTTTCTGCAAGAGATGAAATCTGTGCCTTGGCAAGGATCTAGGAACACCAAAAATCATCCTGGGAACTAACAAGGAATAGATGATTAATATTGAAATTCAACTTCTCTGGGAAAGAAGGCTAGAAGATCCTAGAGGGAAAGCACAGATGAAGAATGCAAAATACTGAAATCAAGTTACAACTTGCTCAAACTGCCTTTAGGGACATTTAAATGTTTCCCATGTAAAGCAAGCGTGGGGCTAGAATG